CCCCCCCCCCCCCCCCCCCCCCACCAAATCCTGGACCCAGCTGTTGCCCTGAACAGGGTCCAGATTTGGCTTGTTGTCTCAGCAGTCCCACTTTGTCCTCGTAGGCCGATATGCTCTATGCAGCCAATTGACCTGAACTTCATCGATGACCCGTCGGAAAATGGCCCCACGAACAAAATCGAGATCAGCATGGACTGCGTCCGGATGCAGGATGCGGACCCAGGTGATCCCATGTGGGTGAGTAGCAGGAAAAGTTTCTTTAACTGTAACCCTGCCAAGTTTGATGTTCCCTGTCGGTCAGAGCGCTTGAATATCACGAGCTATAAGGGTTTTCTTGCCTTTCTCTGTGGGGCAGGGTCCTTTTTCATATCACCTAATTCCTTCCCCAGCTGGCAGTGGCAACACCCTTGTCACCCCTGGCTTTACCTGTGGCAGGTCACGGGGTATCTGCGGTGCTCCAGATACTATGCATTGCAGGCTCGTGGATAGGTTTGACACGGTGGTTTTGGGGAAGTTCCTACAATTAATGGTTGTTTGTCAACATGGTGGGGGGAGACAAATGCAACAGCCTAGCTTGCCACTTTGCATCCTGGTGTATAAATTTTGGTTTTGCGAGATGTGGCTAATGTGCGCGTGCAAGGCTGAGGCTGTTCACAATTATTCCACACTGCTTGAAGGCACGCACCTCAACATCCCCTGATTGTGGGGAGGTTTCCTCTGACCCTTTTTGATGGTACTGAACGATGGGGACCAGCCAGGAGCGAACTTGAGGACCGAACCGGTCGGGAGTCCGTTCAAGCTCTGTCTACTGACTCTTGCTTCTGCCTACCTGTGTTCAGTAAACTGTTTCCAATGAGATGCACCTTGAGAGGAGTTTTAAAATAGTAAATGGTGAAGAAATGGTAGATGGGGGTTTGCTGTTGACTCTCACAACACAAGACCTGGGGGTTGCAACATGAAACTAATAGGTGGGGAGTTTTAAACGAGCCAAAAGACGTTCTTTTCTGCGCGGGGCAGGCTGCAAGACCTTTAAGTTCAAGGGTTGTAATATTGAGGGCCGCCATAACGAGCCCCTTTGCAGCACTTTGTGGACTGCATGCGACTCCTGGCAGCCCCGGCTTTGTTGGATGGAGCCTGAAGTGCTGCAAGGCTTGCGAGGGGGGCCAGCTCCTGCTTGCAAGACAGCTTCTCTTCTTGACCCGCATGCTGTCTGCACCTGGACGGCCTGGGCGTTGTGTGACAGCGAGATCCCCCTTCTGTGTCATCTTCCAGCTATTGCCGGCATGCACCTTCCTTGCAGCTCTGCCTTTCTGCTTTATGAGTCGGGTCGATCTCTAGTGTTGAAGCTGCCTGGCCACTTCCCCTCCTGGCAGGGATTATAGTGCTTGCAATTCAGAGGTTTCCAGGCCTTCCCGACTCCCACCCTTGATCCTGGCAGGCAGAAACCTCATAGCATCCTACAGAAGCGGGGCTGGAAGAGGTCACATCTATCCAACCTCCTGTCTGAGCCAGGTTCACCTCTGTCCAAACCATCCTATACAGATCCGTTATCTAGCAAAACTACAGTCGACCTTGATGCAACACAAGACATAACACCCACACCTGCCAGGATCCCACTGGATTTCCAAACTTTCCTGGAGCTCCTGATTCATCACCCCATGGGGGGGCAAGTGGAAGGTCTGTGTCCGGGGCAGGTCGCAAATGCCTCCCAAAAGCTTGCGTGGCTGTGGGTAGGAAGGAGCGGTCCTGCTCAGACAGGCTCCTGGCCTTTAAGAAGTGGATTTCCATTAGCATCAGTCACGTCTTTCAAACCTCTCGGGCTTTTGAAAGGCAGCACTTGTAACTTCACCTGCAAAGCTCGTGCTAGAAGCCGGACCAGCTTTGCTGTCTTTAAAGTCTTTGCACCGTGGCTTTTAACACGGCCAACTTGCCCTCCAAGTCCTCTCTTCTGTCCGTCTCGAGGAAGATCTCCCCATCTTCTGCTTGCCAGAGCAAGGGAGGAGCGACGAGGAGCCTTGGAGGTGATTTCCACGTGGTTCTCTGGCTTTGGGGAGGGTTGATCTTGGCCCTTCAGGAGGCGTTTCCCCATCTGCATGCAGGGACTTGCTTGATTTCATTAATGTTCAGGAGTGTTGCACAGGATTGGTTTCTCCCCATGCTCCCATGCAGCGTACGGGCACATCGAGCCCTTTCATAAGTACTGTGGGCTCTGACGTTCGTTTCTAAATGCACCAACCTTGCAGGAGGGGAGAACAACCCCTCTGCTCGCTCAGGCACCGTGCAGAAGGCTTGCTAATGCAGCCAAATCTGCTTCTCGACCTGGTGCAAACTGCTTGGGCTGGAAGCACTCCCCTTCCCCCATAAATTTGCAAGCCTGGCTGACAGGTGACATCCCCCCCCCGTCTCTTGCGCTGGCAGGGAATGCGTAGCCCCAGGGAAGGCGCTTGCCGCCGTCGCGTTTCATCTGCAATCCCTCCTCCCTCTTCCCTCTGTCTCCTCGCTTCCTGCCGATCGCTGCAGGGCAGCTGCTCTCCCAACACCTGTCTGTAAGGTAACCCCGGCCCCCCGTGTCACCGGCAGACGCGGCGGGCCAGGCGCAGGTGATTGGAGCGCGAGAGTTGAAGAGGGCAGATAAACACGGAGGAATGCAGTAGAGGCGGAGGGGCTGTGCGAGACGCCGCGGCGGTCTGGAGTATATCTTCCTGTGGGCAGATCGAGGCCAGCCCTCCAGCTGCAGTGCACGGCCAGGCAAAGCAAGTCCTAGAGCCCTGTCCAAAATCGGCGTCTTTCCACTGTCCTCGGTGGGGTGCAGATGAAGCTCTGGGATGGTGCATGCCCCTCTCTTTAGGGGTAGTGCAGGTTTTGGGGGGGGGGGCTTGCCTCCACTTTCTAGATGTCATTAAAAAATCTTACTGCTTCCCTATTCGGAGCTCTGTCCGCTTGACGAAATGCAAAACGGGATGAAAACCAGGGTGAAATCCTAATATCGGGGTGGTTTGGAGCATGACAGCCTGCATTGCAGGTGTCGGCATGTCGTGCAATGGTGGGGTGCATGTGTGTGGCATGCAGATCAAGGAGGGAGCACCAAACAGAGCAGTAGATCAGGCAGGGGATTGGAGTGGCACACAGGGAAGGTGCGGGGCTAACTTGTGGCACGCAGCCAGAAAGGTCGGCCTCCGCTGCTTTAGTGCATGGGTCTGCTGTTGAGTGCATTGATTTAAGGACGAGATTTGCCTTTGGCCTCGCTCTTAGGATGCTACGTAAAGCGGGTGTCCCTGCAGCTGGGCTTTCCTCGGCACTTAATTGGCTTCCGCATCCCAGCCGGGGGGAGAGCATCCCGGTCCAGGATGGTACGGCGTATCTGAGCACAGCATGAGGCGTGTGGGTGACGTGGGTTTCAAGGCGAGGGGCACCAGCCCACGACGATGCAGGTGCTCAGCTGAGAAACGGGTGCCCCGCGCAGGACGTTGCTTGTAGTATAGCGAGAGAAGGAAACGCAGGACTGGGGTGGAGCGTCCGAGATGCGGGGAGACCTGGGTGCGGTTTCAGCTCTGCCACAGGCTGCCTGTGTCACCCCAGGCAAGTCCCTTAGCCTTGGTGGGGCAGGTGGCACCTCTCCCTCTTGCAGGCAGGCTTTGTGGATTGGTACCCTAAAGGTTGGGAAACGCTCGTTTTTGGCAGGGATGGGGGCTTTGTAAGTACCTTAGGATAGGCCATCGGGGAGAGGCTGAGCTCCCAGGAGGGATTTAGGTAGGGAGAAGGGGGTTGGCTCTGTGGATCCCACCAGGACTTTGGGCCTCAGCTTGACGCACTTAGTTTGGCCTCCGATTGACACAGGCCAGAGGCTTCCACCTCAGGCTTTTGCATCCAGCCTTACGACCTCTGGCTAGAGGAGGGTGGAAAGAGGCTCTGTCTGGGACTAATCCATGAGCCGGACTGCTCTCGGGGCAGCGCATCGTTGCACTAATGAGGGGTCACAATTCTGCCCCTGATCCCAGCTTCCCAGACAGGTGGAGGCGACTGCATCCATGCATGGGCAGAAGACGAGAAAGCTCCTTGTGAGCTGGTGCAGATCAGACGATGTCTCGAGAGGTGGAAAACCCCTTCTTCCTGGTCACAGCCACAGGAGGAAGAGGAGGAGGCTGCATTTTCTCCCCTTGAGCTGAGACTGTCTGTTCCCACCCTCTGCTTTGCAGAGGAAACAGCCTGCTCGTGCCGTGGCAGACGAACGGGCCCCTCCTGGGGTGACCAGGGGGCAGGAGGGGACTACGAGGGAGTCGGCCAGGACTGGAAGAAGAATGACGCCAGGAGCATCTGGCGCATCAAAGTTTTGAGATGCAGTGGGATCCTGGCAGGTTTGGGTGGGATGTCTTGAGTTGTGTCAAAGTTGACGGTAGTTTTGCAAGTTGGTGAGAGACTAGATTTGTATAAGGTGTTTCTGGAGACTGCCTCTGAGTCCCTCTGGCTGCTGAGACTTCCTCTTCTCTTCCCCCTCCTCTCCCTCATTTAATGGATGCCAGCAAAGAAGCCACAGGTTCCTTCTCTGAGAGATGGCGTCCAAGCTCCCTTCGTAGGGAAGGGGTGGGCTTGGCATGGGAGGAGGCGGTCACTAGCCTGGGATAAGCAGGGGGTTGCTAATGGGCCACATGCACACATTTCACGTGGTCCCCGTTCCTCTCTCCCGGGCTCAGCTGTGTCACCCCCTTCCTTCCCTCTTCATCTGCTGGCAAGCACTCCCCCGATAAGACACGGCCGATTCGGCAGCGGTGCTCCCCATCAGCGCCTCCCTTATCCCAAATGCTCGGTGCTCTGCCTCCTGGTCCTCGCAGCAGCACGGAGACGTGACCACGGCTGGTGTCTGCACGTGCACGGCTGTCACCTGTTCCCGTCCGTTGGCTCGTGGCTTTCTCTCGGACTCATCCCAGCCAGGTGGGCTTCTGAGCTGCAGCCTGGAGGGGCACGGGGAAGCTCTCCGGCAGCAGAGAGCAGCTGGATCTCTGTGTGCTTTTGCAGTGAGAGCTGTCCAGCAGGCTTCAATCCCCCTGGGGTCCCTTCTTCTCTTCCCTGGGACAAATCACCGCTTGCATCCTGGCCCTAGCCCCGGGGGCTGGCACGGGAGCTCCACGCGGGCCCTGAGAAGCCGTAGCCGGGGGTGGCGTGCGTCTCATCTGAAGTGAGGCGGCAGGGCAAGGTGAACTCATCCCCCCCTCCATCCCCCTACCCCTCCTTGCACATGC